AGCCGGGCCGGGACGCCATGGCGAGGTGAAGGGAGGAGACCCGGGACGCTCGGCCCCTCCGCGGGGGTGATGAGGGGGAGGAGGGCACGGGACAGAGCTGGAGAGGTTGGGGGGGCGCCGGAGCCGCCGCCGTCGCTTCCTCACCCCTCTGTCCCGCCCCGCGAGGGGAAGCGGGCGGGGAGGCAGGAGGCGCCCCTTCCTCCGAAGTTTGTTGGTGAGCTGGGCTGGAGCGCGGACGGGGCAGCGCGGGCTCCCCTCAGCGGCCCTGGCTCTGAGGTGCCGGTGACGGCCAGCGCCGGGACCGTTTCCCGCCCTCCGGGCCCCGCGGCGGTGTGTGGGGACGAGGGGGCGGCCGTCTCCCCCGGGCTAGTGCGGCGCAGGGGAAAGCCCTCGCCGTGGAAACCGGTCCTCACGGGGCCAGCCGCTCAGGTCGAGAAAATCTTCATTAAAAAACTAGCTAAAACCCACTACGAAGCCACTCGTGCTCGTGTTTGAAATAGCGCCTTACTGACTGGGTGTTGCTGAGGGGAGGTGGAAAGGTAATACCGCCTGGTTAAAATGTCAGCATAGAGAAAAAAAAACCCTTATTACTATATTTTAGGGACGTTTTTAATGTGTCTAGGCAGGTGGGAGGAGATAAAAAGAGAAGGGTTAGTAGTATGTCAGCAGTTGGATCGCTACGGACTCTTGGAGTTAGGAGCTGTTGCTGTGAGTGTAAGAGGCAGAAATGAATGTTTACATCTCTTCTGTTTTTCATTATTTCTGTTCCTGAATGTTTCCATCTCTGTTAGCTTAGGCATGTCAGTTTGTTCTGAGCCTTTGGATTTGATTCTCTTCCACCACTATGGCTTGTGGATCAAAATCCTGCAGGGGAAACCTGGTACAAATAAATCCTGTTTTCAGCAAAGTAAAACTGTGATATTTTGATTTTTCTCTTGTAAAACACTTTCCTTTTCACCTACACAGCTTGGTTTTTGGAGGAGTCCTAATACTCTACTGCTCTTCCTCAAGCTGTATTTCATTCTGTCTGGGATGAGTAGTTTTGCTCCAGTGCTTCAGCAAGGTACTATAGTACTTGTAACCTTAAACGGATTGTAATTACAGTCAGAGAATAGCAGCTTCAATTTTCCCTGCGTGTGTATGTATATTTATTGTACATACATACATACATACATGCAGGTAGAAGGCAGAAATGGAAAGACTTGGGTTCTTGCTTGTGCAATTACCTCTTGTTTAGTAGGTCTCAATTAATGCTTGTATAGAATTTGTTCACCTGAAACTTATTGCAGTATCATGGCTTTCTTGTAGTTTTTTAAATATCCTTTTATATTAAAGTCCTTTCTTTCGTAAATACCCCATGCTTTTGAGATGGCCAGGATAGTAAGTTTGCAAAACAATCAGCTTTGCTTTTGGAAAACAGAAATAATTTGGATTCCATTTCACAGAAGAAAACAGCTTGTCTGTTGGTAGTTAAGTCATGTCATAAATTCCAGCTTGCAGGTGGCAGCTTGCAGAATGGGAAAATGTATTCAGATGGTTTTGTTTGGTCTAACTTCTCGACAATCAGAAGGGATGATGGGATGGTGCTTTTTATTCTACTGTTTTTCTTTGCTTGCCTTTTATAAAGATACTGGTGTACACAGCACTCATTTAGGCATTTCAGTGGTTCACAGTGGTGATTTCAGCTGCCTTCTTCCCATATGTGCCATTAGCTTAAAGAAATTTAGTAAAGAAATAAAATGAGTTGCTTTTATTTTATGAAAAGCTTCAGATGCTGGAAATTTGCTTGCATCACCGCCTCCTCTTCCTCCTCCCCCCTGCTCTCTCCCCATTTTGGGTTGATAAATCTGCAAGTCTTCATTCTTAGCTGGCTAGACCAGGGTCTTTGGTGCTGATAGGGTAGCAACGATGAAGAAATATTATAAAAGCTTGCATATAAATACACAAAACTAATTTATTTTGCTTGCTAGTGCTCCCAGGCTGTCTCATTATGGAAGATCCTGTCTCTTTGACTGACAGCATCAGTGCAGATTTTCTCTGGAATCGTGTCAATCCATAGAATCTTATGTTCTTTGAGAACTTGGGAGGGGGAGGAAACCCAACCAACCCCCAACCAAAACAAAAATAGGCCTTTCATTAGATTATAATTAGAAGTATAAAGAAATTATATTTTAAATGTTTTGTCTACTGTGTACAACATAATCAATGACTTTCATTATTTGAAGTGGTTATTATTAGTCATGGTTTTGCTCATTTAAACTGACCCACAGCCCAGTGAGGTGATTGGAATGACTCTGGGGTCAGACAGCCTTGAATCAGACTGTAAAAGAGGAAGGTAACAGAAGTGTTGCCTTTCTGCCTCAAATGGATTTTGTCTGTGAAAGCAAAAGAATTAACTCCTTAGTTTTTAACATCCTTTGCACTTAAAGGACATATAATTGTAAATGTTTGGAAGTTGTTTACACTCGAAAGGGTAGCACTGAAGAAAGGATTACTTCTACATTTATAATGTGGTATTATATAATTATATATATTTATACAGTATATTGTATTTTAATATTGTATTTTAATACTACAGTATTTACATTCATTTTCCTAATAGTTTGTTGGCACATATTCCTGCAGTTCAGCTGCCGAACAATGTAAATAAATGATTGAGTTTTACTTTCTAGTGTTATAAGCAAGTCTCTCTACTCACCAAAACTTTAATGGAAATAATGGAACACTTGAGAAAAATAAGTATGAATTGAAGCTGCTTGTATTACATTCTCTGACTAAAATTCCAGGTTTTGAGTGGATCCAAAAATGTTGTCTAGCTTTTTCAGCGGATTTTAGTCCTGCTTTCAAAAGAAATAAAGATAAGGTTGATGAAAATAGAGAGCTTTAGAGTATTTCTAAAAATTCTTTCCTTTTCTTACTTATCCTCAGTTCTTGAGCATTTAGCAAAAGGAGGGGAGGACTGGCAATTGACACAGTTCATCTTCTGTCTGCTTGTGCCAAATGATGTGAATAGCTACGTGTATTAACAAACTCCAAAGTACACAATGCATTAAATAATGAAGTGACAAATAAAAAATTACGGGTTGCATTTAAGACAATGCCTTGCTGTTTTGTTCTGCTTTAGATAGCTTTGTTTGCCAGAAGTCATACAGTAAATCACCCTAGCCTTTTTGGTTATTGTGGTACCTACACAGTTTGAACTTTTACCAGCTAATCAGTTTCTTCTTGCAATATATTTTCTCTGTGCTCTATGGTAAGTCAATGGTCCACCTGAGGTATGCTTGCATTGCATCAAAAAACTCAAAGGAACTAGAGGAAATTCTGGATTTAGCAAAGGTACCTCTAGCTCTAGAGATTCATGCGTGTCTTAGGGAGTTCTACAGTGAAAGAAATCTGTTGCAGTTGTCTGAATTAATAATGAAGAGTTTGGACATGAAAAGTTACTGTTTTGTTATAGTAGCATCTGATAGCTCCGAGACATAGGTCATCCTTCTTTGTGCATATGTACTTTACACACCACAAAAAGATATCCTTGCCACAGAGAGTTTACCATTTCTACCTGTGTTGTACAACTGATCTGGTCATGAGCTGCATATGTAGTTAGAATTTTTCTATCTGTGGTCCACTCCTGGGCACACCTTTTTCAGAAACCTCTTGGGAGTGAATTGTGGGTGGATGAATTAATCTTAGAGATGTCCATTTATGCCCAGGCACTGCATTTCTGACCTGCCCTGTGGCCCCTTTGTTGATAAGTCATATGCCAGCTAGATTTACCACGTTCTCATGCCACCCTTTTCCCAGTAAATCCTTAGAAGAGGATATTTATTTCCAGGCTGAGAGATCAGGTTGCTTAGCCAGAACAGTCTTGGCCATATGTTAGTAAGACTTGAATTTACCCCACAAGTGCATCCTAGTTTACTTCTGAAGACTGCTTTACTTGTATGAAATTATGTGTGCATAATGGATTTGCTAATAAGGTAGTAGAGGGGCCATGGCATATTTGTTGCTAAAATAAATTCATACAGTTTGCCTGAGTGAAAAGCTTGGTTACTGTTGGGTGAAGACTCTTGAGGCTTTTTTGTGGTGTCTTCAGGGGTCTGCTAGTCTGTTCAGTGAATGGTTCTTCAGTAGTTTAGAAATAGCCTCAACAGTTCTTGTCTTATCATTAAAATGTATTAGCTGGAAAAAGTCTTCCTGAAATATTTAATGTAAAAGATACTGAGTCATTTTAATATGTTTATTTGTTGGAAAAGAACGGGAGGCTGCATGTCTGAAATCACTGGGAATAATAACAACAGTATGTAGAGAGACTTTAACGTTCATCACAGATATTGGTTTGTTTAATAAGTGGTATGTGTGAGTGCTGAAGTTGTACTGTATGTCAGGGCAGCTGCAACAAAAGTAATTTTCAGCCGGGCATATTCGGTCTACCACTGTCCTCAACAATACAGAAAGATTGATATGGGAGATGGTCCGGGGGAGCTGGTTGATTTTCAAGGTTAACCTCCCACAAGCTCAAGAACGCTCCATCCCCACAGGCAGGAAGGCAAGCAAAGATGGCAGGAGGCCCACATGCATGAACAAGGAGCTCCTGACAAAACTCAGACATAAAAAGGACGCACACAAGAGATGGAAACAGGGTCAGGTCACCCCATGAGTGAGGGAGACACTGTCTGCGAGTGCAGGTATGCCGTTAGGAAAGCCAGAGCCCACCCAGAGTTGTATCTGGCGAGGTATTCAACTTGTGAAAGGCAAGAAAAAGCTTTTACAGGTGTATCATCAGCAAAAGGGAGACTAGGGAAAATGTGGGCCTGCTTCTGAATGGGGGGGAGGGACTTGGTTAAAAGAAGGACATGGAAGAGGGTGAGGAACTCAAAACCTTCTTTGCCTTGGTCTGTACTGATAAGACCCACCTTCAGCAATCCCAGGCCCCTGAAACTTATGGGAAAGTCTGGAGCAAAGAAGAGTTACTCTCACTGGAGGAGGACCAGTTTAGGGAACATATAAACAAACTGGACATACAGAAGTCCACAGGACCTGATGGGAGGCACCCACAAGTGCTGACGGAGCTTGACAATGTCAATGCAAGGCCACTCTTGATAATCTTCGAAAGGTCATGGTGACTGGTGGAGATTCCTGAAGACTAGAAGAGAACAAATGTCACCCCTGTCTTCAAGGAGGGCAAGGAAGAGAATCTGGGGAAACTATAGGTTGGCCAGCGTCACTTCAATCCCTGGGAAGGTGGTGGAGCAAATAATCCTGGATGCCATTGCCAAACAAGGAAGGACAAGACAAACATATCAAGGACAAGAAGGTGATTGGGAGAAGTCAGCATGTTTTTATGAAGGGGCAATCATGCTTGACCAACCCAAAAGACTTCTGTGATGAGATGACTGCCTTCATGAATGTGGGGAAAGCAGTGGATGTTGTTTATCTCAACTTTAGCAAGGAGTTCAATAGTCTCCTATAATGTCACGCACAAACTGATGAAGTATGGACTAGATATGTGGACAGTGAGCTGGATAGAAAACTGTCTGGCTTGCTGGGCTCACGGGCTCTGACCAGTGGCCTGGAGCACTCCAGGGGTTGATAATGGCTCCAGTAGTGTTTAGCCTCTTCATTAATGCCTAGACAATGGGACAAAGTGCACCCTCAGCAAGTTTGCAGAGGGTACAAAATGGGCAGGAGGGGTTGATGCACCAGCTGGTTGTGCTGCCATTCAGAGGGACCTCAACGGGCTGGAGAAATGGGCAAACAGTAAACTTGGAAAACCAAGTTCAACCAAGGGAAATGCCAAGTCCTGCCCCTGACGAGGAGTTACCCCATGCATCAGTGCACACTGGGGACATGCTGTCTGGAAAGCAGCTTTGCAGAGAAGGACCTGAGGGTCCTGGCAGGCAACAAACTGACCATGAACCAGCAGTGTGCCATTGTGGCAAAGATGGCCAGCAGCCTCCTGGGCTGCATTAGGAAGAGTGTTTCCAGCAGGTCAAGGGAGGTGATCCTTCCTCTCTGCTTACCATTGGTGAGACACACCTGGGGTGCTGTGTCCAGGTCTGGGCTCCCCAGTAGAAGAGAGACATGGACATACTGGAGCGAGCCCAGCAAAGGACCATCAAGATTATGTATAGATCGGAGCACCTGACATATGAGGAGAGGCTGAAGGAGCTGGGGCTGTTCAGCCTGGAGAAGAGAAGGTTCAGGGAGGATCTTACCCATACGTGTAAATACCTGATGGGGGGCAGTAAAGAAGACAGAGCCAGACTCTGTGGTGCCTAACAGGACATGAGGTAAGGTAGTTGGCACAAACTGAAATACAGGAAATTCCATTTAACCATAAGATATACTTTTTTTTTTTTTTTTTTTTTTTTTTTTTTTTTTTAGTCTACAAGTGATTGAACACTGGAAGAGGTTGCTCGGAGAGTTTGTGGAGTCTCTGTCCTAGGAAATACTCAAAACCTGACTAGACAAGGTCATGAGCATCCTGCTCTGGGGAGGGTTGGACTAGATGATCTTAAGGGGTCCTTTCCAACATCAACAATTCTGTGGTTAGGTAATACAAAGATGGAGGAGGTTGTTAAAATAATTCCATGAAGAGCTTTATCTGTGCTCTCAAAGACATAGTATGAAATAGGTCTTTTTTTTCCAGGTTATCTGAGTATTGTTTGATTTGTTTCAAGGATCACGTGCATTAATATTTTATAAATCTTAGAAACAGTGTGGCATGGGTTATTGAATGTTATGGTGAGAGAGGCAGCCTCTCTTGTCAATCACAGTTGTTTCAGGTCTCGTGTGCTGTTCCTCAGCTGCATATTAAAAACTGAAAGTCATGAAAATTCTGCTTGCGTTCAGTTTTGTGAATAAGCCAAATTTATGAGGTGATACTTCTTCAGGTTAATACTATGTAATTAATACATTTTGCAGAATAAGGGTGTTTTGTGTTGATCTTGTAATTAGGATCATCTCAGGTAGAAGATGTGGATCTGGTTTGTGTAGGGGAAGATATTCCTTATCTGGAGCTCTTAGTACTGTTTTGTTGGAAGAGAAGGAGGAAAATGATCAGAACATACTGTCAGCAAGGTATGTAATAAGCAGATTGAGGTATTCTCTGTGCACTTTCGAACTAAAAGTGCAAAACATTAACTTGAGGATAACACTGGGGACACACACTTCTACTTGTACTCTGTTTTCTTCTTCCTGGGTAAATGGCTTATTGAAATGTGGCTATGGTCAACATGAGTCTACTGTGTTGGAATGATTTTGGGATGTGTGCATCTGGTGTGATTTGAGATTCAAGTTAGTCAGGACCTGAGATGTCATTGTGAAACTCAACTCCTAGACACTTGATGAAATTTGGTCTCCAGTTGAAAGAGCATAGGGATATAGGTAATCAGAGAGCACCACAGGCTTTGGACAATCTTGTCTTCTTGCTTTCCTACGTTTCAGGTTTCTAGCGTGTCAAAGGAACTGACAGTTGCTAGCAATTAACTTTGAAATCAATTTCAAGCAATAAATAATTTAAACTTGCAATGAGACACTCCACTTGAATCTGTTGATTTTTTTCTGCCCCAGTTTTTCAGAAAACCATCTATTTGACCATGATGTATCTTGAGTTCCTTACAAATTACAGCAATTTACTTTCATTTGCATCTCTTTGGTACCTTTAGTACCAAATCCATATGAAGATTCTTAGCAAAGCTTTCTTATGTTAAATGGAACTACTTTTACAAATGAGCAAGCTGAGACAAATTGATTATAGATGACTACATCATGACTACTGCTTGACCAACCTGATCTCCTTCTATGCCCAGGTGACCCGCCTAGTGGATGAGGGAAAGGCTGTGGATGTGGTCTACCTGGACTTCAGTAAGGCCTTTGACACCGTCTCCCACAGCATTCTCTTAGAGAGGCTGGCGGCTCACGGCTTAGACAGGTGTACTCTTCGCTGGATCAAAAAATGGCTGGACGGCCGGGCCCAGAGAGTTGTGGTGAATGGAGTTCAATCCAGTTGGTGGCCGGTCACGAGCGGTGTTCCCCAGGGCTCAGTACTGGGGCTGGTCTTGTTCAATATCTTTATCAATGATCTGGACGAGGGGATCGAATGCACCCTCAGTAAGTTTGCAGACGACACCAAGTTGGGCAGCAGTGTTGATCTGCTCGAGGGTAGGAAGGCTCTGCAGAGGGACCTGGACAGGCTGGATCGATGGGCCGAGGCCAACTGTATGAGGTTCAACAAGGCCAAGGGCCGGGTCCTGCACTTGGGCCACAACAACCCCATGAAGCGCTACAGGCTTGGGGAAGAGTGGCTGGAAAGCTGCCTGGCGGAAAAGGACCTGGGGGGGGTGGTTGACAGCCGGCTGAACATGAGCCAGCAGTGTGCCCAGGTGGCCAAGAAAGCCAATGGCATCCTGGCTTGTATCAGAAATAGTGTGGCCAGCAGGAGTAGGGAAGTGATCGTGCCCCTGTACTCGCCACTGGTGAGGCCGCACATCGAATACTGTGTTCAGTTTTGGGCCCCTCACTACAAGAAGGATGTTGAGATGTTGGAGCGTGTCCAGAGAAGGGCAACGAGGCTGGTGAGGGGTCTGGAGCACAAGCCTTATGAGGAGCGGCTGAGGGAGCTGGGGGTGTTTAGCCTGGAGAAAAGGAGGCTGAGGGGAGACCTCATCGCTCTCTACAACTACCTGAAAGGAGGTTGTAGCGAGGGGGGGGTCGGTCTCTTCTCCCAAGTAACTGGCGATAGGACAAGAGGAAATGGCCTCAAGTTGCGCCAGGGGAGGTTTAGATTGGACGTGAGGAAAAATTTCTTTACTGAAAGAGTGGTTAAACATTGGAACAGGCTGCCCAGGGAAGTGGTTGAGTCCCCATCCCTGGAAGTCTTTAAAAGACGTGTAGATGAGGTGCTTAGGGACATGGTTTAGTGGGCATGGTGGTGTTGGGTTGACGGTTGGACTCGATCTTACAGGTCTTTTTCCAACCTTAATGATTCTATGATTCTGTGATCAACAAGAAAAATAAAAAACCCAGAACCCTTTTTTATGATTATTTTTCTAATACAAACCAGAAGTGTATGCATAGGGTGGTGTTAGTATAAAAGATTTAAGATAATGCTAGGTCTGTGCAAATGAGCTCTTTGGGGTCTCTGTTCTTTTTGTAAATGTTTATTTGGGTCTCTTATACATTAACAAGTTTGACTGTTGCATCCAAAGATGGCATTCAAAGTGTATGACAGCCGTCTTCAAGTTTGATAGAAATTTGTCAGCTGCTGTCAGTTTCTGTGGTTCCAAGTGAAGCTTTGGTAATCCAAACTTTAACCTAAAGATAGAGTGGAATGCAGGTCTCCCATGTGATAGCACATTATGCTGTTGTCACGTGAACTACTGGACTGAACAGATTTGATTTTTTTTTTAATGGGATATATTTGCCTTGAAGCCAAGATAAATTGGCTTCACATCAAAGAGTGATCTTTTCAGCGATGTGTGGGAATAGAATTGTCAGGCAGCAAATGTATAAATTCTGTAAGAACGGACTGTCTTATGTTCATAAAGATTATTACCAATATAGTATCATTTAATGTGAAAATCTACCTAAATGTTTTTTTTCTTTTGCTGCAGAACTTTGTCAAGTGTGAAAATGAGCTCCTATAATATGACAAAAGTCTGCTTTTTCTTTCAGCTTTTGCTGTAAGTGTAGTTCCTGAAGGTGCAGAAGATGAGGCTGAACTACCAGTGCTGAAGGTAATAAATTTTAATTGCCAGAGCAGGAACATTTTACTGACATTATAAAATCATCTAGAAGAGACCAGAGCAGAAAGCCTAACATCTGTGACATTGATTATTTTGATCCACTTCAGTGGTACTAAATGTCATGTGATGTCTTTCCGTTCTGTGTGGCATATAAGAGACCTTTAATGGGACACAAGTTGCATGTAGCACTACTCTTCTAGTATTGCTAGGATCTTAATTTATCTTATGGATTCTTAGAATTACTAGAATAAACTTATACTTAGCACTTTTCATTTCTTTCATAGGCTGGATTTTCTGACTTACGTTAACATTTGTATTAAGAGAATTAGGTTTTTTGGGTTTTGTTGTGGAACAAAATTATAATTTAGAAAACAATTTATTTTCTTTTTTTCCAGGATCAGCTGAAGAGTGCATTAGACACTTATGCAAAATTGCCAAGTTTTTTTTACTATAAGTTTCTACAAATCGATAGTGTTATTGTTGTTGAGAATAGTTTTTGAGTATATAACCTTTATTAGTTCAGAGTCAGGTTTCTTCTTGGTTTTGTTAAATATATAATGCATTGAGAGGGAAATGGCTGCCTGTCTGCTAAATTAGCATTATTACATATTGCTACCCAAGTCACGGCTCAACTAAAGCTTGCGTAGGAAATTTCAAATTAACAGATTAGAAAAACTAATGGTCAGAGCTACTCCTACTGTTAAACAGCATAATGGGTGTTAGGTTTGTATGCATGTATGTCCTTTAACAGACTTGTATCTACTGATTTTTTTATATGTATATATTTGTAACAGATACTTGTGTATGTATAAAAGGGATTTAAGGGAGGAAAATCAAATAAAAGTACTGGAATGAATCAAGAGTTAGAATGTATAACTGCCATTTAGATCTAGAGATCTCACATCAAATGCAATAGAAGTATGGTCAGAGAGATGTGTTTCTAAATAATTTTTGGGTTTGATGATGATTGCTATATCTACAGTAATTTTCATAAATGAAAAAGATCCCTATTGCAAACTGCTGATCTGCTGCAGTGTATTTGGGAGACTAGGTAATGTCATTCTGTTTTCATTACTTATAAATTGCTGTTTGTCAAATTACATTACTGTCTCAATCGAGCTGTTTAATTTTATCATTCTTATATAGGGTATAATATATGAAGACTTTCCTACTATTTTAGAGTTTTAAAACCTTCCCTCAGATGAAGTCAGAGGTGCCTCCTAGAACTTTTCAGGCCAAAATCCTTTTTTTTTTCCTTTTTTTGTTACGTTAACAGGAATGTAACAGGCAACAGTTTTTTTGTTTTGCGTTTTAATAAAGGTAATTGTAAAATATGGCTTGTTCATCACACTGTGTATCACAAAACACATACTTTTTTGTTTGCATAGAAAATTAATCTTCCCATGTTGTTTATGATATAGGTTAACTTAGAATGTGGTGTATATTATGCTGTAAGATGGCATTGTGTATACACATACATAAGTACTGTGTATAGTCATCAAAATAACTTGGTCTTACAAGAATTTTTTTAAACTTTATTGACCCAGTCAGCAAAAAAGGGTCATAAGCATGGATGCAATGCAGTCATTCTTGAAAAGGTTTTACAGATGGCTACCAAGAAAGTTGGAGCTTATGCATTTCAGTATAAAAGTCAGACCTGGACAGAGGGAGAGATCATCTCATGCAAGTAGGACTAAGAGGATTAGGTGGATAAGATATTTAAAAAAAAAAAAAGGGGGGGGGGGGAAATGTGTTTATAAACAGGAATTAAGTCACAAAGGTAGGAAAACTATATACGAGCTTATTACTGGGGAGTGTTTGTATGGCATTTCTATCTGAAAGTCTTAAAACACTTGAACCAAGATAAATCCTACAACATCCTTATGCAATTAGTAAAGATGATCTTGATTTTACATGTGGAGAAACCAAAGCACTGAGATGCTGTTACCAGGGAGAAATTGTGCAATAAATGAAGGCTCTGTTTTCATTCCGACAATTTTTGTAGGAAGCGCAGAGCTATTTCTCCAGTCCTATCTCTCTACCAGTCAGCAGTTCTTAAACAACACCTCTCCACCCAGCCTCTGTTATGTAGAAGCAATTGAATATGCTCCTAAGATATTTTTACTTGTGTGTCTTGGTTTCCTGGTTAACAATGCAAATGCAGTGTCACTGTTGTCTGTTCCTCAGCATTCTTGTAATTCCATTACAAATATATGTGATACCTGAGTAAATCCCAGTGAAGTCGTGTTATGTACAACAACCTTTTCATATTTATTTGTCTTGATATAAATTGCTTTTGAGTCTTCCTTTAAGAATTGAGTTTCAATAGATGCTTGATAGTGGATCAAATGATTAAGAGTGTGTTGGGTTTTTTTTACACACTGAACAGGTGTGTTTTTATTACAGAGTTCCATATTCCAAACTTTGTTCTCAGGAGATACATATTTAAAAAAAAAAAAAAGACATTGTTAGTATTAGCTTAAAGAGCTCTGGTATAAATTTGAGTCATGGAAAAGCATTCTCTTTTTTTTTTTCTTTTTATTCTTTTACTGTATTATCTAAGTAATGGTATACAAACATGTAGAATATCTGTTTCAGTTCTCGATGATGGAAAACTTCAGGTTTTTTATTAGTTCTTGAGTTAAAACCTCTATGTATGCATTTACAATCTGATGAATGCTTTGACTCCCTGGGTGTCTCTATAGAAATATTTGAGTTTTTGCGTGTGTCCTTATTTTGCTTTTTCTCCTTTCTTCTAGAAGTCTGAAAAAAATGGAACAACTAGTAAAATAAGCAGAGGTAAGTACTGTATAGTCTGTATTTGTTTTCACTTGTTGTAAAATACAGTTATGCTTTGCAAAGTGACTGTGTGAACAGTGCATAAATGCTCAACAACATTGTTAGTTAATTGCCGATTCCCAAATATGTTGTATTTTTTTTTCTTTGCTTATGTAGTCTCATCAAACAGAAGCTTCTCAATCTTTGTATTTGCAGTTCTTGTAGTTAAGTGTTTTTCTGAAAATGTGCACTTGCACTATGAAACTGATGCATTGCTTTTTGTAGTACACAGTATTTTAAAATCAAATTTCATGATACTTAGTAGCAGTTCTTGTAAAAAATTTAACATGAAACTGAATTTTACCATTCTGCTAGGCTCTCATGGTACTTGTAATAACTAGGGTTATTATATATTACCTGTAACAGCTTTTAATAACTTTGTAATATCTGGAAACAAGTATTTAAGAAACATGTCAAACATTAACAGGCTACCAAGTGGTAAAATACATTTTTACTGGACATGTGAGATAAATTATGAGAATAAAAATTCTGCAAGTTTCTGCCTTTTCTGAAAACAATTCTGATGTCCTTCCAGCAAAAAGTTTACAGACCTGAGGTAAGGACTTGCAATCTCTGCACTGTAACCTACTGCTGCCTCTATATATAGCAGTTCAATTCTTAAAGCAACTTGGACTGTTATGGTACCTCTCACTCTTCTAAACCCTGAGCGCTTGGGTCTGCTTGTTCTAAAAAGAACCCGCTTGACCATGTCTCTGTCGCAGCAGTTTCTGAGTAGTTGTGAGTTCATTCTGACATCCAAGATGAACACTGGGAAGACAGCATGCTTTTAGTGGAGTTGCTAACAGAACTCTGGATGGTGCTAGGAAGATCTTTTTTTTGTTTGTTTGTTGGCTTTTTTTGGACTTAGTTGCAAGCTCTGTCCCTAACACAGATAATTATTTTCCACAAAAGTGGTTAAGTCCATTGTCTCATTATCTCCCATTTTACCATTGAAAGGTCAGGACCTTTCTATAGAAGCTTTATTACTCTGTTTCCCTGTTCACCCATCCTTATCTGGTGTCAAAGAAAGTCCATTTCCTTTTTGTGTTCTTTCGTCTCTTTCTGTGGAATCTCGTAGCACAGCCAGATGCTGGTTGCTGCTTTTATCGCTCCCAGCAGACCTGCTGTGTCACTTCATAAAACACCCAGGAGAGGCACTGACAGACTTTTTTTTTGACTTTTGACAGTGCTCAGTTTTCATAAGTTTTAATATAACTTCATTACTCAGGAAAGTTATATTTAGGAACATTACAATGGTACATTAGTGATGTAACTACCAGCTGTCATCTATTGTTTGTTTCAGTAGGAGATCACTTTAAAGCAGACAAACAAAAGTATTTTATGCAGCAGGTAGCAAAACTTATAAACTTGCTGCCACAGGAGGTAGTGGAAGCAGACCATACCAGGAGTTTCAAGAGGGGGCAAGTCCATAAATGTCTGGTAAGATAAATAGGCAGCAATGCGTCTTCTGGCATTTCCTAATACAATAGTTGTGGATGCTGTTAGAGTATGAGGAGCACTGGAGAAAGTGAAGGCCTTGTGGTGTCCCTAAATAGTGTTTCCTAAAGCTACTGTTAAAGACAATATACTGGACTACATGGACCATTGGTCTGACGTAATACATCGTTTCTTGTGTTCTCTATCTTTTTTTAACGAGATTCTGCCTCTCCTTAAGAAAGAATATATTTTTTTTTAAGTCTCTTTTAACCCATTTCTGTGGGTAAATCAAGGAAGGACTTGGAACAGAGAATTAAGTTCTTGATGGTTCTTAGTTGCTGTGATTTTTTTCATTCTTCTTTTTCAAACTGTTATACAAGAAAATTCTTTCTCCTTTATAAATAAGTTGTACCTTTGTAACAAGGAGGCAAAGTTACCATCTGTAGTTTTACTTTCAGAGTTTTAAGGGATCTTTTTAAGTGTCCTTAGCCAAGCCTTTGAAGACAGGTATCAACATCTTGATATCCTAGTCCCTGGGAAGACAAGTGTAATACAGAGAAGACTGAACTTCATGTTCTCATGGTTGCTTTGTCTACCCAGAATGTGATGTAGCTTTCTGGATTGGCTGGTGTGCAAAGAGTTTCATGCATGGATATGTTATAGTCCAGCCAAAAGATCAGTGATATGACTTACCAATGTTGGATCATCATTGCCATGCCGTGGCAAAAAGTCTTGCCCTTCGGGTGGATGTATAGGTGCTCTGTTGGTGGGTGTATTTGTCCCCAGATGGTAGGCCATATTGCTTACCAACAGTATTTTCAGCTTTTAGAATACTTTAATAACAAAAGCAAATCTCTTCTTGAAGTGCGTCACTGGCTATTTCAGGCTAGTGTACAATGATTTCACCTTCTTTGGAAACTCAAGGAAGCATTGAGCTTGGGAGCGTGAGTTCTCTAGATTACTTCTGCAGTCTGTGGAAAGAGAGGGGCACTTCCAGAGGGTGACTGAGATCCAAGGTAGGTTGAGTCATTCCCTCTGGAGATAATCCTCTCACCACAAGAGTATCTACTAGCTTTTGGCTGCAGGGTGAGAGGGTATTTGGTTTGGGGGTTTTCTTTTTTCCTTTTTTTTTTTAACATGTGTTACATGAGAGAAGAATGAAGTAGTTTGAGGCTTTTTTTTTCTTGGATTTGATTTTTGCATATATGGTGATGTTATACTTCCTCTGATCTGCAAATACCTGCAATATTCTGAAAGGATCAAAAGTATTTTTTGCAGTTACATCCTTTTAATATCCTGCCTGACCTAGTTCTGCATTTTATCTAGGCTCTCTAGGAATTAGTGAGGGAAGTTTAGGTGGAAAGGTGAGAACAACATGCAAGGTTTTTTCTTTAGTATCAGAGCAAATGTGTAGGTGATGAACTTTTTTTTTCGTTAAGTAAGTGTTAAGACACATCATGAGTTCTGATGTGGTAAGCAACATACTTTATGTATTACAAAACTATGAAAGGGTGTGCAGTTTGTGAACAACTGGATAATATTATTTCTAATTTCAAGAAATAAACAAGTGTACTAAAAATGTGGTGTGTTTGGAACTGATTTTAAAGAGTTTTTTTGGATGTTACTGTTGCAAGTAGTCTAGTAAAATTGAGGAAATAGAAATATCGGAAATACTCAAACTGTGTTGAGAAGAGTGTTTGAAGTTAGGATGGCTTTCAGTTCTCATGCTGCAGGCCATAAACAGATTAGTCATTTCAATGCTTATTGCTTATATGATAAATAAATAAGCACACACACACAGATGAGATTGTGTGCCTATATCTATCTATCTATCTATCTATCTGCATACACTGCCTTTAATCCAGAAAAATCCCAATAACTTTTATATAAAGACATCTACAAATTATTGTTCTTAGTGTGAGAAAAGACTTGTCTCTACTTTTAACTGCAGAAGTTTTATACTAGGCTACAATAATTTGCTCCAAATATAAAAACTAAAAGATCCTCATCTGGAGTTTCAGGTTGATTTTAGAGTTGGCATAAAAGGAGGGGAAGGCCTACAGAATATGCAAATGGCCTAATTTTTTAAACCCAAACAGAAGCTGAGTTGTCAGACCTGCACAGTAGAGTCTCCGGTTTGTGAATTGAAGCACCAGTGCTTCTGCAGTTTAGTTTTTGTCTGACTAAATAATGAGACATTCTGTACTTTCTCACTGGAATGAAAACCCTGTTTTCATTGTACAAATATTCCATTTAGCCTTAAACAGATTAATTTTATTTCCATCATTTCTTAGGAAAGAAAAACCCGAAGAAAAGAGGAGCTAGATTTAAGCACCATTGACAGAGCAGCAAAGATGATAACCACCTATTAGAGGCCAGTGGTTAGACTGCATTCTAGTTGTTTTAAAGCCATAATTGCAATTTTTGTGGAAATGGTTTGGACCATGTCACACACACTCCAGGAAGCATATAAATCATCATGGAATTCTGTCTTTTCTCTTGTTGCCTGTTCTACCTTTTTATTGATGTGTTTAAACATTCAGCGAGTCAGAGACATCATTCTAGATGCCCACTGTTTCAGCCATTTTCACTCTTCTCCATTTCTAGAACAATAGGAGAGAATGGGGAAGACGGGAAGACCCACCTCAGAATATACTTGCAGCCTGGAAATTAAGACTGACTTAGAACGCCAAAGACCTACATTCAGGCCCAAACTGCCTCACAGATGAGAATTTACGTTTCTTGCATCCTGGGTGAATGCTTTAACCTCTGGCTAGCAGAGGAAGGCTATCAAGGCAACATCATCATCTTATGTTCTTCTAGGAGCTTTTTTACTCTTTTTGGGGGGGGCCCTGAAATGTTTGTTTTAAATTTTTCAGTAGCTTTGAGCTGACTAAAACAGCCTTTTGTGGTGAATAAACTTTGCAAAAAAAAAAAAAAAATCATACAAGTAGTTAATTCACGCTGGTTGTTATACTGCAATGCTTATCTTCCAAATAACAGTATTTCCCCATTGCCATCTTTTGAACTGATTTAGTGGTAATTCCTAAGGAGGTACATTTTGCATAGGGTCATTGTATACTTGCTAAAACACACGTTACTGTTAATGGCTTGTTAAAAGTTTTTTAAGGGTCCATTCTGTTTAGCAATGAGACATGGTTGTGATAAGACTCAGGAAGTTTTCAGCATTCCAGTTTCCCAATTTTTTTTTTTTTTCCTGTGAACTTGCAGTATCTTTCCAATCAATGAGCATTTGAGATTGTTGAAGATATTTTCCAGATATGGAAATGTCTTAGGGAAATAAAAGAGAAAAGATGACAACAAGAGAAATAAAGTATATCAGTAGCTCATTGGATGTTAATCTTCCAAGAGACTCCATTCTTTGTGTGGCTTGGTTGACTATTTCTCAACTTGAGAAACAACTTAGGTGTTTAAAATTATACATACTTTCTGTTGACATTTTAATACACTGACTATTTCTTTTAATGGAACTATTTTAAAGTGTCTATAGCAGAGGAAACTATTGCCGTTGAATTAAAGCAGTAACACAGAAGTAATTATTAGATTAATCCTAGAAAGTATTCTATTGTGGGATATCACAGCTGTTGTTAAATGTACTGTAAGTGAAACTGAGTGTAATGCAGATGGTTGCATATCTGTAAATGTACTGATACTAAAACAGTAATTCTATAAAGCAATATAGTTTTTGCTTTTTATCTCTAGGGATGTTTTCAGTGTTGTGTATGTAGACTTAGCCCTTTGACTCTCACTAGCATCATTGAAGTGTAATTTTAATCTTTGCACTAATTTTAATTTTTGCACAGGAAATCTAGCAAATTTCTTGCTAGATAGCAAATAGCTGCTATTCAGACATTTTTATTGTGCATGGTTTTTTTAAGCAGTTTGGGTGGGTCAGAGCATGAAGGAATGCTGCATGGGAAAAAATGCGAAATCAGAACCCATACCTATGTCAGCGCTTATGCCATCTCTGCAACTTTATCACTAGAAACCTCACACAATTTGACATTTTCAGTTTGTCTTGGTGAATAAGCTAATAAATTGAGGGAAAAGAGTATCCAGGAGAAAAGCAGAAAAACATTTAGCTGCGGCTTTGAGCTGTCATAGGTCTAAATTAACTGTTCAGAGGAACAAAGGAATGCAATCGATGGTCAGGTCTTGCACATGGCAATCTTCTCATAATCTTAGCAAAGATATTTGGGCTTAATGCTCTTTTTGTTGCCAGTGTTTTTCTTGTGATCCTTCTTCATGTGCGCAGTCTTACTCTTTTTCCTTGAGACTACTACTTTCCTTCTTTGGACATTTATTCTCCATCTTTGTTCCACTGTTCTTCACTCATTCTATTCTTATTTGCCAAGTTAGCATTTTTAACCTAGAGGTCAAGATCTTGATGTGAAACTAGGATCTTTTAGGTTGACTTGATCTAGGATGCAAGAATATACATTTTAAAAATAAATATTGTATTAAGTAAAACTTGAATTTATACTGCAGTGAAACTGGAGATTAAAAGTGTTCAAATACTCTGCTGCCTGACAGGAAGCTTCACGTGCTTCCTCTAAGATGCTCTGTGCTTGGGATGTTTATCTTCACACAGATATTGCTTATAGTAAAATCTGGCAACTTTCGGTCAGCCATGACTCTCTGGGTTTTCTCTACTGAACTTTGATCCTGGTCTGTCTTCAATTTGACATCTCCTATATCTCATTGAAAGTTTGGTTTCAATGGGATACCGGTAGCAGTTCTTAGTAAGCTCTCCTTGAGGTTTTATATCAAGTGCTGAGAGATTATTCTATCTACTATCATCAAGAAAATTTGGCTGTCTTCATGGCTATCTCCATGGTATCAGCCTTCATCACCTGCTTGTATTTTTTAATAAGCATTTTTTTCCTGTCTGTAAATGTTTGCAAAGCTACTTCATTATTTTCTTTTAAATTTCTCATAGTCTCCTCTCCTGTTGAAAGTTCTTAACTATGGTGCCTTTAAACACTGGGAGCGCGCATTTGAGGTGTTGATGCTGTCTTATCAGATAAAAGTAGTACCTCATTGTTCTCACACGCGTCTCTCTCCATCTGATGTTTGTTTCTGGGTAGGGTTTTAAGCTCTTTATTGAGGAAGCATCTTTTCCATTTCGTGTTCATCCATTGCCTAGCAAGGGGAGATTTTGGTCTATGACTAGCCCCTTTTAACTCTAGTTACTCGTTACTCGTAGTAACGAGTGCTGGTGTATTGGAGAAAAAGGAGCTTAATTAATGTGGCTACTGTTAACTGCAGGCATAAGTTTCTTTGCTGCAGATCTCCTAGTCACGTTATACTTCTTATGTGTCAATCCTTGAAAGGACTGGTTTGGATTTTTTTGTCTGTTAAATTATGCCTTTTTATTATTTCATGAAATGTTTGTATAACTAAAGAAATAGCTTGCTATGTAATAGATTTCCCCCCATACCTGGGTTCTCAGTAGCTTTGGAGCAAAACTGAAAATAACTTCTTTTGTCTTTAAATCTTCTTATTTTCTGGTTCACAGAATTAAAAGAAATTGTATTTATCATCCAGAGTCAAAGTAATTCTTTTCATTCCAAGAGAGCAGAAGATCTAAAAAGAGATATTTTAAAACAGGCTGCAGATCTTGGAAAGGTATGTTTAGATAATACAGATTGCACCTTGTTATGTATGTTTTTACTGCATTTTACTAAAAATATAGTTTTCTATTGTGCCTTTTTTGGATCCATTTTATTCATTTTATTAATTGTCTTCTGTGTGCTTATAAGAGAACTATTTCAGTGGGTGTTTACTGATTGTATGCCGTGATGTATCACCAAATAATTTTAATTTGAACTATCTACCTTTTTGTATAATAACTGTTTTTGTTTGGATGGCATTTGATGCAAAAGTAGTAACAAGAAAGACTTGTAGTGTGCCTTTAAGAAAAACTCAGATGCTTTCCTTATGCAGTGAAAAACATAATCATTTAAACAATACTTAGAATAATTTTTAGGTGAGTACTCTATTTTATTGGAGCCAATGAAAGATGCTGTAATGTAGATTTTGTCTGAATTCCATTGCACAACTCTAGCATTGTGGCAGTAGAGCAGCAATGTATGTGGACATTAAAATCCGGACACAGGATTCCCTACTTCCTACAGCAATAGCCTTCCACACCTCTGTTACCTATGTCGGTATTGGCTCCCTCCCTGGTGCAGTACCTTCCCTAACTACTCCTTGTTCCTCTGCCACCCCACAGCAGACTGAGCACTCTGCCTCTCACCTGCTAGTGGGCTGTGCTGGCCTGGGAGCTGCATGTTGTACAAGTCTGGTTTTGACTTAACACTCTAATACAAAATTTTACTTGTAAAGCTTTAGCCTAGAGAGAAGAGGTTTTTAAGAGACTAACATTGAAAGTTAAGTGTACATAAACAATGCTTTATTTTCTTTGTCTTTAATAAAAATAAGCAAAAAGTAAGAGGCATACATCCCCTGATATGGAATAGCTTGCTGTGAGGTTATTTGACCTATTTTTCAATTCCAGGTTCTTCGTTGTGAAGGAAGAAGAAGTCTGATTTAAATTGTCTTATGTATCTTGGCCTTGGAGTGCCTAAATCAGGTTCCTGGACGTTTTAGGCTTAATTTATCCAAGCTTATCAATCCTGTTGTAATTAAATCCATTCTAAGTGCAATTTTTAATCCCTTAATGAAATCAGTCATGTGAACAGCCTTTGTTCTGCAGAGTCCTGCTCTTTCAGAGTCTTCTTTGGGATTGGGGCAAGTGTTCAGATACAATGTGTGCAGAGAGGATTATGGCTTCAGTTGTTAAAAACAAGGATTTTAGTTGAGCTCTGAAATTGATGTTGCAGAATATGAATGATGAAAAGATCGATAAGTGGAAGTATAAATAGTTTTAGTGAGGCAGGAATATAGGCATGTTTTATGGGAGAGGTAAAATCTCTTTTGTAATCAAATACTTGTACCTGTGAGTACTTCTGCCTTGAGCAAACTGAATTGGCTTTTAAAAAATGTTATTGTCTAATTAAGGAGATTCCTTTATGAGAATGATGAAATGCTGATGCTTTTCTAATATTAAGATGTAACTGTTAAACAGCATTCATGGCATCTTAGAGAAGCAGTGATGGAAATACATCACACGAAAAATTTCATATCTGAAATCTGGGAAGAGGAGAAAGCCGTCAAGGTACAGGAAAAAATGAGCATAGCCTGCATGTACTTGGCATGTCTTGATTGGTTTTGTCAACTCGCAATTCCACTGTAGGGCACTGTGAGGCATGACCCAATAATACTAATTACGGAGAAGAGAGAGAAGGTCCCTTAAATTCTGCACATCAACATTTGAAGTTCGCATTTTTCATTAAAAAGAATACATATGAAATTATTACTTTCAAGTGAAGGAAGTTAAATCCTTGTGTTTTAAAGGACAACTGCTGTAGAGAAAGAAAGCACTGGATCAACTGAATCGTCAGGTTCACTTGCCTGTTGTCACAGGACCAAACGATAGATGTTTAGTCCATAAGGATTCATCAGTTATTTTCCCCTGTTTTAAAACGAGAAGTGGAAGCCAGCTGTTAATTTGTGTTATTTAATGAAACTAGAATATCTGCATTGCTTTAAAATGGATTAAATCATTCACATTCATATTTACTTTACATTAATCTTTACAAGTAAATTGTCCATTTATTTTCTTTCACTGTGTACTTAAAACATTTTTTTCATGTGAAACTAATCTATAATTCCAGTCACCAGTAGATGTCAGTATTGTGTTCATGCTTAAAAACATATTCCTAGCGATTTATTGAACGTTAACCAAAACTCTTAAGTATATTAAACAACGGCTAGAACATAGCAATAAGAAAATTATGTAAGATTTTTACCAATTTTATTACTTTTCTGAGATTTCTACATTTAAGAAGCTCTGTAAACTAGGCCTTCCTCAGAAACACCAGATAAGAATCATGAAGCTGTCACAGTGTGAAATTATAATATTTGGGACTGTTCCCTTTCTAGCTTCTTAAAAAATTAAAAACCAGGATTACTTTTTTGGCTATTACGTTTAAGACTAGAAAACAGGTAAAATACGGTTTTTGAAAAATGATAGATTTTGTCTGAAATACTGTTTTAGATGCAGTTAATGCTATTTAATTGTCTGGCATCGTGACATTGTTTTGAAGACAAAGGTCTGTGTATTTCTTTACGAAAACTGGTCTAGTAGAGTAAATGCCTTCCCCCCACCCCACCCCGAGGGTTCTTATATTGAATACCCTCAGCCAATTCATTAAGTTCAAAAAACTTTTATTTTTCCTGAAAAGCCTAGACATTAAATGTTATCCTATGTATATTAACCAGAAGAAATACAGCAAATTAGTAATATTCATTATGGACTTTAAAAAAAACGACAAAACAATCATAGAATCGTTTAGATTGGAAAAGACCCTTAAGATGGAGTCCAACTGTAAACCTAGCACTGCCAAGTCCACCACTAAGCCATGTCACTAAGCCCCACATCTACACGTCTTTTAAATACCTCCAGGGATGGTGACTCAACTGCTTCCCTGGGCAGCCTGTTGCAATGCTTGACAACACTTTTGGTGAAGAATGTAAGAATAAGATTTTAAGACTGATACCATGGAGTATTGGAAAATGAAAATGAGTATCACATACTTCCATATGAATAATAAATGATGTGAAGTATGACCTCTGTTTTATAGAAGTGTTGTAACTATAATTTGCAGTATTTTTACTATTAGGCTTACTTTGTTTTGAGCAAAATCCTATATTTTGTACCATCTCATAGAAATGAAGTTTCACAGATTTAAACTATCCCTACATATAAAGGGGAATATTGCTCATCTGTGAATTTGAGGACTATTACTGTAGTGATTATTAACATCAGTTTAAAAGAAACAAGTACAATCAAAAGTATGGAACCGTTCATAGAAAACCTCCATATTATGTTGCTTGAGTAAGTACTTGCTTTAGTTAACATCTTCATTAAATTTTCATTATATTGTTTCTTTGTCAATCTCCCGATTTCCAGTTTGTCTAACGTGAAAATAGGTGACAAATGTTAGGAGCATCCTATAGTTGTGTACTTGTTTATTTAAAACAATTTTGCAAAATCCTGTTTCCTGAAGTGCAGCAGGAGCACAGATGATGAGAAACCCAGCTGGCCTACGCCACTGGTCTGTGCCTCAGAAGTTCAGTCTCTTTGTTACGTTACAGGATCATGCTTACCGAAGGTTCTATTTTTCTGCTTCCAACACACATTGACTGTAACTCAGTATCCTAGCTGCTGCATCTATAAGGTTGAAAAGCCTCTTGGTGCCTATCTCGGCTTTATTTTATTATGTCATTAGAGTCATGGCCACAATATCTGTTGCCAAAGTGCCATTTGCTGTTGAGCATGGCATATGTGCTTTAAAAATCTGTTATTTTTAATTACCTAGGCTGTACTGATGGCAGCATCGCACTATTTAAATAATATGGAAGATTTCTGTGTTAAAGTGTTGGAGAGGGAAAAACAAGTATAATTAGCTTGCTTGAATTTTAATGTATATATATTAAGCTATGACCATATTCCTATCTGAAATGATCTGTTTCCAAATTGTTCCTGCTCATGTTTTGGCCATCTATGAGAGACTCCTTTTCAGGGAATTTGTAGACTGTATCTTTTTTTTCTTAATTTGCCAGTGGGACATGCATTCCTTTTCTGGGTTTATTAATGTATTCTGAGGCTCTTCCTAGCTCTACTTCCACATCTGATTTCAGATGCTGGAGTGAAGCTAGCTGAAGTTCTGTTGTCCAAAAGCCTCCTTAAATATTCCTCTGTTACTGTTTGATACTATTCCCATGATGAATTCTGACATCCATATCTCACCAGAAAGAGATTTTGAAATACTATCAGACTATGACGGAAACAACTCTGAAAATGTGTCCAGTTTTTTCTTGGTCCGTAGTAGTAGTTGCCTTATTTTATTCCTTGTTAGATGTATTCCACAAATGAACAGACATACATTCCTCTTCCACATCTACAACAAGCTGTATAGCTGAAATTTCCCAATGGTTCTGAGTCTTGGAGCAGGTCTGAACTGTTCTGCATTTTACCCTTACTGTAAAGCTTACATGCATGTTAATAATGCTGTGGTTATAAAATCTAGTGGAAGGATTTCTCGTTCACTGCAACAGAGTTATTTAAACTGATCTGTATATTTAGAAAAGTTATTCATAGACTTAATTTGATGGAGACCTTTCAAAATTAATACCATAAATGAAGGCAATCTGTAATATATCTGTTGCTTCAATTTCCAGATCTCTTGCTCGAATTCTAGATTCTAGTCTGAAAACCCCATTTTCCTCCTCTCCCTCCTATAACGGCTTCCCGTGCCATGGAAGCTGCTTCCAGCTGAGACTGATCAGATGATTCATTTTTGGATCTTGCAGTTTTAACAAGGTTTAACTGTTTATATTTAAGTGAAGTCTTAGGCTACATTCTGTCCTGCCCCTCCATCTCCATGTCTACAACAGTTCGTCTTATGGCTAGGTTTTCCACAGTATCAAGATCAACCCAATTTTTTTAATTAGAACAGGTATGTTTTATACATAACTTTAAATTATTATATTTCCCAGTG